CCCCCCAAGCCCCCACCCTGAGCCCCCAAGCAGACACTGCAGCCCGGCCAGAGCCTGTGAATAGATGCGGGTTTATTACTGCAGCATCCTGAACCCCCTCCCCAAACACCAGTCCCAAAGAAGGCCCATAAGCATCCAAAGGCTTGTCCCCAGCACTGGACAAGACCCGCAAATCTGGATAGAACCCTAGCACCCAACCCCCGTCACTCCCTAGGAACCCAGAGGCAGAGCTGGGGGCCTCGTTCCTCTCCACTGAAAAGCTCCAGAGGACTAGCTAGGACCATGTCAGAGCTGACAGAAGGTTCCAACACATTCTGGAAACAGCCCATATGAAGCTGGTGGAGAAGGCCCGGGTAGTGATGGGGGAGGGGAAACAAACCCATCAGAAGCAATCTTCCAGTTGCAGAGCCACCCTGCCCACCCCCCAGGTCTGAGAAAGCAGAGACAGAAGGCAGGACGCCTCCTCCTCTCCCACCAGCGCTGCTTAGATGCTGTGGCCACTCCCTGCCCTGGACTCCTGTGGTTGGGCAGCCCTGCCCTTCACCCTCCTCAGGGCAGGGGGCACCTCCAGCCTCCCATCCCCAAGTTCCCCAGCAAGCCCAAGGATCCAGAGACCCAGAGTGGTACCAGCATCTTCAAGTGAGGTCCATGCAAGTACTGTTTTCTGCCAAGCAAGCCAAAGGGATAACCCAACCCTTGTGGGAGCTCCAGACCCTCCCCGTGAAATAGTTCTTGATAGGGAGCCCGTCTCCAGCACCCCTCAAGGGTGCCTGGGCTTCCCTGAGTCTTTGGGGTGGGGGGTGGGGGCTGGAGGGAAGCAAACAAGCCAGTCATGAGACATCTCAGCAGCTGGACTCCACTAGCTTCAATGGGCCTGCAGGGCAACCCCTCACCATACCCACCCTGAACACCCTGCCATCCACCTCAGATCAAACACTCAGAAATAGGGACCTTTGTAAGTGTCCCCTCTCTCTTACTATCCTGTCAGTAGCTTCCCAGCCAGGCCCCCAGATCTCCCCTTCCATTGGTCTAGATGGGAAGCTCCAGGCGCTGGTGGGAGGAGACAGAACCCAGACTGAGTCCTTCTGCTCCTCCACTGCCATCCAGGGCCAGGGGAACCAAGGGCAGGTGGGTTCGGGATCAAGACTGAAAAGGTATGAGTCTAGGGGTGCCCCCCACCCGTGGCCACACGGGATCACATTCTGGGAGGCCTTGGCCCACCAGCCAGAGGGTTAAGAAAGGGTGGTTCATAGCAGGAAGGGGGGGCTGGATGGAACATTCCTCTCCTGATTCAGTGACTGTTCCCAAAACACACAAAAGCCCAGCAAGGGGCAAAGAAGTGGATGGGGTGAGGGACAGGAACAGATCAGAAGTTCAAAGGCCCAGGGCTCAGTCCCTCAGGGCCTTCCCTGCAATGAGGGGGTTCTGGAGGGTTCCAGCATATTCTATTCCTCTCGGACACCCAGCACTGGCGCCATGGGAAGCCTCCTTAAACGTCCGTTGTAAGTGCGAGCTGAACCCTGGGGCTCGGATCCAGAGTCCAGTCTTCTTTGGCCACCCCACCTGGCACTGCAAAAAGAGGGGTCCTGGCATCCTCAACAGGAACTCCTGGTTCTGCAGAGACAGCAAGAGGGTCAGGTAAGGGATGGAGGGCACCTGAAATGAACTCAACTGGGCATAGGCTGCAGACCTCCAGACAGCCTGGGCTCTGAGGTTCAATGGGAATGGGAACAGAGACTAGGCCTGAGCCAGACCTTGCTTTTCCTTCTGGGTGCACATCCTTCTTCCCACTGTCATCTGGTCCAGTCCTTCTCTTCCTTCAGACCCTTCAGGACACCCTCTCAGACCCCCTCCAAAACACAAACCTAACACACTCAGAGCTTCTGCCCAGACAGTGTCTGCCAGACGAATGGGTCATCAATGGTTCACAGGGGCCAGGGAAATCTGTAGCAGTCTGCTCCTATGGAGATTTCAGCCTAGGAAATCCTATGGACACGCCTACTCTGTCCTATGGGGTCACTAAGAGTCAGGGCTGACTCACAGGCACCCAACATCACTTACATGGTGTGTGTATGTGGGGAGGGAGGGTTTCAGTTCACACTCTGTTGGGCTCACGGGAGGGGTCTTTGGTGGGGAGGAGGGAAGAGGCACAGGATTTCTGCTCTAATGTTCAAAGGCAGGTCCCCACAGCAGAGAAGTGTGTGACTTGTACACGCTTCACCCTCAGACCAGCGAGGGTCACTTCCCTTCAGCCTGTCCCAGCTCCCAGCTTCATCATGGGAGACGTGGAGATGAAACCAACAGATTGACAGGAGGGGTGCAGTGGGGTCAGGTGGCAGAGGACGAAAGACTGAGGTGGGACAAGAAAGAAAGAGTGATGGGGGGAAGAGCACATTGTCATCCTAGGAGGTAGCACATCTAGACGTCAAGGGGTTGTGAGGAGAGAGCCAAGAACCACGTTTTAAAGACTTTGATGTAACAACTTGTAAGCAGGGAGCGCCTCCTGGTGGTCAGCCCGGTTACTAAAGGCAGAAGTGAGTCCCTGCTGAAAGCCCAACTCCCAGCAGAGCTTGTTCAGTAACTGTTGATGGAATGAATGAGTGAATGAATGAATGAATGAGTCAGTGAGTGACGTCCCAGTGAACCAAGGGCTGACAGAAAACATGTTCTGGACATGCTGCGCTCAGAGGATATGCAGAGGGGAAGGGAGGCTGATCAGTCAAATCCTAACTCTTCAACCTGTGCTTTTCTTGGGGTGTCCCTCAATGAGTCCCCAGATAGGTGTGCATTAGGCAGTGGGCCCCTCTATCCATCACCCTGGTGCCCAGAACTCCCTACAGGCTCCCACCTCCACTACCATCCTGGCCGCACCTGGTAGATGAGGGTCAGGTCAGGAGGTGAACAAACAGGATAGCCAGGCCGATGTTCAGCAGGATCACCATGCAGATGAGGACAGTGTTGGGGACCTGTGAACAGTGGGGAGAGACGGAGAGACTGTGTGAGGGCCCGGGGCCTCTGAGGTCCCTTACCCCACCCCCCTGCCCACAGGTCAGGAGACTGGACAGAGGGACAAGAACTGGATAGGACCCCCAGTCTGCACACCATCAGAGCTAGAAGAGTTCCTGGGAATAACAAACCCTCTGTCTGGAGAGAGGCAGAAATGTGGGCAGAACTGGGCCCAGAGCCAGGTACCCTGCCTCCCGTCCTGCTAATTCTTCTCAGAGTCTTTCAGAGCCTTGCTTCACTCCTACCAGCTGCTGGTCCTAACCCTGAGGTCCAACAATTTTGCTAGTTCCTGCTGGGAACAGACGCTCCTGGTACCTAGCCCACCTACCCCACTCTGCCCAGACACAGGTACCCATCCCCAAGTGTTTCTGGCTCCCAGCCACCCCCTTTTCCAGAATACTAATCTCTGCTGATGAGATGTCCCTGACTCAAGGCAAGGATAACCCTAAGGCTGATTTACGCTGGAGTCCTTTGGGTCAGCTCACAGAATGTTGTTAAGTGCCTTCCAGTCAGTTCCAACCCATAGTGATAGGGTTTCCAAGGAGCGGCTGGTGAGCTTGAACCACAGATCTTTCGGTTCAAACTGACCAGTGCATTAGCCCGCAGACTAAACCCAAGTTCCTGCTGGGTCTGTCCCCTGCCCTATCCTGCTTCCCTGTGGGAGAAAGATGAGTCTCTTTCGGCTGATGGGAAGATTTATATATATATTGTATGAGTGTGTGAATTGAGCGATCGTTTACATGGGGAGAACATCAGCTTTGCACTCATCTTATCGTATTTCGTTTCAATGCAATGATTACAATCTCCTCCATGCATCATCATTCAACAGCATTTACTTCTATTCCCTCTGAGTTTTGTTGTTGTTTTTTTTTATGTACACCAAAACACTCAGGAATATGCAATCATTCAAACACCCAAAGGGCATGCCACCCCCCACCCCCGCCGCCTCCAGCACACAGCCCCTCTACCAGAAGACTTTTTTAATGCCTCTGGTCGTTGAGTAGGAACCAACTGGACTTAAACAACAACAACATCTTGATTCTGTAGTGCTAGTGCGGCTCTCTGTAGGATAAACAGCAAGGTTGGCGGTTCAAACTCATCAGTCGTTCCTTGGAAACGCTGTACCAGGGTCGCAATGAGCCTGGACCTACGAGCACTTGTCAACAGCATCCTGCTTCCATCACCACCTCTAGAGGTGAAAGAGGGGACCGTCCTTCCCACCCTCCGCCGCCGCCAAGCTCACCTCTTCCACCTCGACCTCGGCCTCCAGCGCTGCCTCCTTGCGAGCCTTTTTCTTGCCCTTGGTCAGCCCTCGGGCCTCTGTCTTGCGGGCCTTGGCCTTGGGCTCGGCCTTGGGGACGATGGGCTTGGGCTCCATCTTGGCGGGCGGCTCGGGCTCGGGCTCCGGGCCGCGGGGCGCGGAGGTCTGCGGGGGTGCGGCGGCCGGGGATGGGGGCGCCGAGTCGGCACCAGAGACCGTGGGTTCGGGCTCGTCCTCGAAGGGCGGCGGCTCGGGCGGCCCGGTGCGCACGGCGTAGCTGTGGTAGCCGCGGTAGAGCGCCACCTCGGGCTCCCGCGACGGCGGGGACGGCGCCTGCAGCGCCTCGATGGCCATGTGCTCGGTAGCCGGGCGCGCTGAACTGCGGCGGCCCGCACCCTCGGACGGCGTCACCGGCCGGCTGCCCTCGCCGCCCGACTCGCCGTTCCAGGCGCCCGGGCTCAGCAGGCCATCCTTGGGCGCTCCGGGCCGGGGCCGCTTGGGCTGCGGGGGCGTGCCGGCCGGAGATGGGGGGCCGCCTTCGGGCCGTGGGGTCTCGCGCTCATGCAGCTGCGGGCTTTCTCGGGGTCGTGCCGGGAGCCCTGCGGCGCCGGGACCGCGATCAGGGGGCTCCAGCAGGCTCTCCGAGTTCTCCAGGATTTCCTGGAGCAGCCGGCGCTTCTGATACTCGGGACCTGCGGGGCAGAGAACACCGAGAGACTGGATCTGAACCCAGGCCCACCGCTGAGAGATCTTGGGCAAGTCACTTAGCCTTTCTGAGTCTTTCATGTACTCCACCAGCACTCAAACAGCATTAAATGCCAGACACTGTCTGGTGGTGGTGGTGGTGTGCCGTGGAGTCAGTTCTGACTCATAGCGACCCTGTACAGAGTTTCCGAGATTGTAAATCTTTACGGGAGCAGAAAGCCTCATCTTTCTCAACAGCTGGTAGTTTTGAACTGCTAACCTTAAGACCGACTCCTAATCACTGCGCTACCAGAGCTTCTAGACACTGTTGTAAGCAATTCCAAATAAATATTACCTCACCTTTCAAATAACCCTGTGAGGTCAGTAAGAGACCCTGGTGGCACAAAAGTTACGTGCTTAGTTGCTAATCAAAAGGTCAAGAGTTCAAAACCATCCTGCAATTCTGGGGGGAGAAAGACTTGGCAACCTGCTTACGGGTCAGACTCCCATAAAGAGGGCTATTGTCAGTGCTGTGGAGTTGTTCCCACTCAGAGCAACCCAGTATAGGGTTTCCTTACGGGAGATGAAGGCCTCATAACTCTCCTGTAAAGACTGTTGTTGTTAAGTGCCATCAACTGTCACATGGGGTCACTGTGAGTCAAAATCGACCCAATGGCACCTAACAATGACTTCATGAAGTATTATTAACCTCCATTTTACAGATGAAGAAACTGAGGCTCAGAGAGGTTAAATCAGTTGCCCAAAGTCACACAGCTCACCAAGGGTAGAGCCAGGACTATACCTAGGCAGGCTAATTCCAGAGTTTCATGCTCTTAGTCCAAACACTGGCCTCTTTCCATTCCCTTATTTGTAAAATAGACGTGCTTCGTAAATACCATGGAAGGATGAAATGAGTAAATGCCCCTAAAATCATGGGCGTAAGGGCTGGCACAAAGAGTTACAGCGGTTGTTATGACAGCGGAAAAACAGTCGGCCAGCCATGATCATTCTTCCTGGTACCAGCAGGGGGAGCACCTTGACGGAAAGTGGCCATTTGTAAATCTCACTCAACCTCACAGGCAAGATCTGTGCTCTATGGTCTTTCATCTATTTATTCCATTGGTCTCTCTTTGCTGCAGTCTGATAATAATTAGAAAACAAATCAAACCATACCACTTACCTTAAAACCCCTTCAATGCAAAGAACACCAATCTCCTGCCCCCTGGGGACTCCCCACAGCTCCACCCAAGTGCCATATCTCTAGCAGAGCTCAGAGGGCCCCTTGGTCTTCAGCCTCACTACCCACAGCCTCATTGGCAAGCTAGCTCTCCTGCTCCCACTCCAGTCCCCTCCTCTTGAATCACCATCCTACCTAGCACTACTTGTTGTAGTAGTTCCCAAAGGTGGGCCCAGGCTAGCTGCTGGCAGCATCAACATCACCTGGGAACTTGTTAGAAATGCCAACTCCTGGGCTCTACCCCAGACTTACTCAATCTGAAATATGGGGGATGATCATGTCACGTTTGAGATCCGCTGACCTTGTAAACGCCTGGTCAGTCTTCAAGATGCAGCCTCTCCACTGAGAAGCCTTCTCTAACGCCTCCTCTGTCCTGACTTGGTTACATATGTGCCCCCTCGAAGCCTCCACAGTCCCTGTTTTAACCACACAGCTTACAGCACTGTATGCAATTTCATCATTTTCATGAAACAACAGCCAACAGTGACTGGGTGCTGATTGTGAGCTATGCAGTGTGTATATGCTCCTTGGTGGTGGTGGCTGTGTGTGATTGAGTTTCTGACTCATAGCGACCCTGCATAGGGTTTCTGAGGCTGTAAATCTTTACAGGAGCAGAAAAATCTCATCTTTCTCCCACGGAGCAACTAGTAGATTCAAACTGCTGACCTTGCTGTTAGCAGGCCAGTTCTTAATGCACTATGCTACCAGAGCTCCTTGCTATCTATGCACTTTACATGCATTTAAGCCACACCAGAAATGTAGGCACTGTTCTTACTACCATTTTACAGATCAGGAAACTGAGGGTTGTAAAGGTGCCACCACTGGTAAGAAGTGCAGTCAGGGTTTGAATTCACACTGAGTCTGTCTCCTCACCCGATAAGCTGTCTTTGTGACTCTAGATTCTGGATCCCAGCTACGTATGCCTCACGTGAGCAGTATTCAATGACTGTCTGATTGCAACTACTGAGCAACTGCAGGAAGCCTTCCTGCCCCCTCATCACCCAGAGATCCTTCCCCACTCTAAGTTCACCAGTGCCAGCTCTGAGCAGAGAGGACAGCCTAGATGGGGTCAGTCCACCATTGGGAAGCTGTGATGACTTGTAACAATCTCAGCACTGTAAGAGCAGGATGTTGTCTTCCCTACAGTCCCCTGGCATCATGTATGCACCATGTTTCAGTCTAAAACTCACAACCATCCAGAACTCCACTTGGGCATCTCAGCTTTCCAGCAGACAAAGGCTGGAAACTCACAACCATCCAGAACTCCACTTGGGCATCTCAGCTTTCCAGCAGACAAAGGCTGGCCACCTGTTCTGGATAGCCGTACCTGGCTGGTAGAAGTCTGGAGCCAGCTCCCTGGCCAACGTACGGGCGATGTTGGACTCTTGGTTGGCAGCCAGGGAGGCTTGTTCTGCTGCCTCAGCCTTGGTTTTGGCGTGACTTGTCCTAAGGAGAAAACATGGTGGGGAACTCAGAACTTTCCAAAGAACCACTCCTCTGCTCTCCCTCCCCAGCCCACAAAGAGGACACATTCATTCACTCAGGTGTCAGTGAACATTTGTTGAGCACTGTGCCCCAAACTGCTGTGCATTCCCCAGACCAGTTCCTCTTCTTTCTGGACACACAGATAAACTACATTTCCCAGCTTCCCTTGTAGTTAGGTGTCAGTAACGCGGGCATATGGTGATGGTGGTTATGTGCCGGGAGTCCATTCCGACTCATAACGACCCTGTATGTACGTTATTTCCAGTCCTGGCCCATAAAAACCTCTCCTGCAATTCTCTGTGACCTCTCTCCACACCCCCATATCTGGCTGAAAACAGGGAAGCCCGAGGCCCTAGAACAGGTTCTCAACCTTTTTTTGTTTCCCAGACAGATTCCTTTGGCAGGCTGGTGAAGCTGTGGACCACGACTCAGAATAATATTTTCAAATGCATAAGATAAAAGAAGCAGAACAACATAGAGATACGATTATATTGACATAATTGTTGCCAAAATATTTCTAAGAAAAAAAGAAACACAATGTAATAAATACATGTCCTTCTTTATTAAACAAACAAAAAACAAATCTAGAAGGTCTATTAACTACCCTAATTTTATAGATGAACATAAGGATATTTTGAGAACAACAGTAATACAACATGAAAATATAGGTAATCTCTCTTGGTGGCAGTTAGAGAGACTGCTGATATGATTATGACGTCATTGAAGAAGATGCTAAATTTCAACTAGAGAGCAGTCAAAATAAAGATATGGTTTTTTCATCCTTAGTGGACACGTAAGAGGCCAGGAGTGGTTCAATAACTATCCACCTTCCACATGGGAGACCAGGGTTCAATTCCCAGCCAATGCATCGCATGTTTCATCTCGAGTTGTCTCACATCAGCAAAAAGGTTCTGGAAACTTTACTCCTGAAAGCTTTACTCATTCAGGTCAACTCTACTTTGAGGAGGCAGCTCTTCCTCGGTCATATTTTGAGTGTCTTCAACTTGAAGGATTGATCTTCCAGCACTATATCAGACAAGTTTCCACTGCTATTCATGGCTAATTTTTCTTTTATTTTTTCCTGTTTCTTCCTAATCTGTCTTAGTCTGGAAGTTCCACTGAAATTCACCCACCATGGATGATCCTGATGGTATATGAAATACCCATGGCATAGCTTCCAGCATCAAAGCAACATGCAAGCCACCCCAGTACGTCCAAGAAGTTCGATTACATGAAGGAGAAGGCATCATCAGAACTGGAGGAAGACTCACTGACAATCTGCAATAAGCAGATGACACAACCTTGCTTGTTCAAAATGAAGAGGACTTGAAGCACTTACTAATGAAGATCAAAGACTACAGCCTTCAGTATGGATTACACCTTTATGTTGATAAAGAAAATGAAAATCCTCACAACTGAACCATTAAACAACAACATGATAACTGGAGAAAGAATCAAAGCCGTCAAGAATTTCATTTTACTTGGATCCACACTCAGCACCCGGAAAAGCAGCAGCCAGAAGCTAAATAATATATTACATTAGGCAAATCTGCTACAAAAGACTGCTTCACACTGTTAAAACAAAGATGTCACTCTGAGAATTAAGATGTGCGCTAATTAAGACCCAAGCCATAATATCTTCAGTTGCCTCATATGTATATGAAAGCTGGACACTAAGAAAGGCTGAAGAAGAAGAATCGATCCCTTGAATTATGGTTATTGACAAAGAATATTGACTGCACCAAGGACTGCCGGAAGAATCAACAAATCTGTCTTGGAGGAAGTACAGCCAGATGCTTCTTAGAAGAAAGGATGGTAAGATTTTGTCTCGCTTACTTTAGACATGTTATCAGAAGGGACAAATCTCTAGAGAAGGACATCATGCTTGGTAAAGCAGAGGGTCATAGAACAAGAGACAGACCTTCAATGACATGGACCGACACAGTGGCTACAACGGTCGGCTCACATGTACCTACAACTGTAAAGATGGCGCCGGACGGGGTAGTGCTTCATTCTACATGGAGCTGCTCGCTGTGAGTCAGAATCAACTCTATGGCACTTAACAACAACAACAACGAAGGTTAGAAGTATGGGAGTCCCTAAGGCTGGTGTCATGAAGAGGTCACGTGATATCCAAAGTTGTAAGCAGGTAGAAGTGCAGGGGGCCTGGGAACATCTGAACTTGTGATACAGGTGGTGTCTGGTAGTCTGGAAGGCTCTAGAGGATGGTGCCCTTAGTATGTGAAGTCTGGTCTTAACTCTCTTAGAGCGAGAAGAACAATACATCACGTGCACCAGACTCCCCTTTCCAGCTCAGCTTCTAGGAAGGTTTGGAGGAACTCACCAAGTTTACAGAACTGGAAGGTGACCAAGTGAGGGTTCAAACCAGTGCTGTGGGTCATCTAGACTCGGCCCCAAACCACAGATGACTTTCTCACAATAAGGAGGGTGGCGGAAGTTCGCAAATCCGGGACTGTCTGATTCCCAAGCCTCTGGCCCCTCCAAACTCACGATGATTGAGTCGATTCGAACTCATAGCAGCCCTAAAGGACAGGGTAGGAGTGCTCCATGGGGCTTCCACGATTACAAAGTTTTATGAAAGCAAACTACCTCATCCTTATTCCATGGAGCAGCTGGTGGGTTTGGACAGCTGATGAGTTTGGAGCAGTGGGTGAGTTTGAACCGTCGACCTTTCAGTTAGCAGCCCGACGCTAATCACTGCCCTATCTAATTAAATATGTGTGGGCAAGGAGGCAGCATAGAGAAGAGTAAGAGCATAGCTTTGGAATCAGCATAGCTTCGGATTACTTGGGAAAGGTGGTGCAGTGGGTTGCTAATCACAAGGTAGAGCACTGCAGGATCA